TGTATAACATGTCGTAACAACCCTTTCTTTTCAGCATGGGCACAGGTCAGATAGATTATTCGGCGTCTGACTTGTGAAAGTGGGTTTTCTCCGGGCACTCCGGTTTCCCCCCACATCCAAAATTATCTCTGGCTTAGGCCAGAGAACACAACCCTATAATTATTATAAAATCTAACACATGGAACTAATGATAGACTTCTTAAACAACCAATGGAAACTCGCTACTTGGTGAAAGTCTTGGTCTTTCTCGTCGACTGGAAAAACGCCTTGAAGCTGTATCGAGCCTCTCCGAACGGCATCCCGACCCCACCTCTCAAGCTAACATCGCCTCAGGACGTCACACAAACTACACACACGATGGATAACAGGACACGCGCGGGGTTGAAGGGGAACAAAAGTTCCCGAGCACCCCTGTTGGGAAGGTTCTCTCTTTCTTCAAACTAAACCCCTGCCACAAGTATTTATTTAATTTATTTAGAGTCATCCTGGAATATGCACTGGTCAGCTCCACTAAAGTGATCCAAAATTTCTTATTTTAACCAAGACTTGAGGATCTCAATGTACTTGTCAGTATTGACAATGCCTTTCACAAAATATAGGCATCCTGCACCCTGGCCAGAAATGCATCCCATATCACCTGACCCTGCACGTACTTCACAATTGCATTCAAACACGCTAGAAAAAAACTCTTTGTTCCATATTGATGTCATACAAAGTGCTTCCCATGAGACCTGTGCAGGTTGAACTTTAATTCATATCTGAGAAGATTACTTTGCTCCACATTTCTTCAGACCAGTTAGCATGCTCTTTGACCCAGTTGAGCCTCATCTTGTTGGTGAAGAGAGGGTTCTTTCTTGGTCATCTTGCTGGGAGACCAGCTGATCACAGGTGAGACTTGATGGTGTGGATAGTAACAGTAACCCCTGAAGTTTCCTACCATGCTCTTTTGAGATCTGTGGATGACAGCTGATGATTCTGCAGGCTCATGTGTAAGAGCACGATCGTCAGCTTCTCTGAAAGCTTTCTTCCTACCCCTTCCTTTCCACCACTCCACACAGCCAGTCTCTGCTCTCTATATCTTTGTACCCAGTGGCTCACAGTAGACTTGATAAATTTAATTTTTCTAGCAATCTGCCATGACTGCCTTTTGCTGTGGAGTTAACTCGCAACCCTTAGCCTTGGTAGCATCAGACACACACACACGTTGTAGCATATAAGCTTTAAAACTGTCTCTAAATAAGAACCTCTATTTATAGCCATAAAATCGCTGGTGCAATACCTAGACAGCTTATAAAGCTGCTGATGTAATAATTAAACTGTATTGTATCATTCATGAAACACATTTGCACCTGCATGGGTTCAAATCCCCATCCCACCAAACATGCTCACTCTTTCAGCCATAGAGTCATTATAAAGTGATGGTCAATCCCACTATTCATTGGTAAAATATTAACCCTAGAGTTGACAGTGGGTGGTGATGACTATCAGTCTTTACTCTTGTCTTTTACTACCAAATTAGGGAAGGCTAGTGCAGCTAGCTCTCGTGTAGATTTGTTTGGTACTATTTCTACCCATGTTGCTTTGTTTATATGTTTAATAAGATAAAGGACAGTGATTAATAAAATAAACTCTGATTTTAGGTGTTTTTTTGTTATTGTGCCATCACATTTTAAAATAATTTGTTTTTGATGCTCTGTATGAATGGTATAATTAAGGGTCTATCATGTGAACTTAATGAATATTTAACTTGTTGGAGGAAATTGTTTTTTAGGGATAGAGAAACACGAGGTAAGTGAAATAGAAAACAACTATGAACTTATTTTGAAAGAATGAAGTTGAACTTAAGTTTGGAGAAAAGTTTCAAATACTTTAAATTAAATTCCAAAACATTTGTTACAAATGTAACATTTAATTGTAACTAAAGTTAAAAGACTTATCGAATAAGTTAAACTGTAAATGTGTTGGTAATTTAACTTATCTGCATACTGTACATTATTTTTTCTGTGGTATCGTTTGTTGATAGTTTATTTTATCTCTCTTAATATATTTGTAAACTGCTGAAAGCTACCAGGGTGAATCAATAAAGCAGAATTTGCTTGTTACACTGTATTTATTTCTCCTCAGTCTGCGGTGCCCGGTACAAGACCCGGCCAGGACTATCATACCACTACTCTCACAGTCACAACAACTCAGATACTGCTGACGAGGAGCAGAGCTATGCTTCTCCTAAATCCACTACTTCTAAACCCACTTCCTCTACCTCGTCAGCTGGAGGATCGGCCGATGACCCACTGGCAGGTTTGAGGAAATTTCAGGACAGCTTCTTGTCTTTCCTAAAGAAGCCTGGTAATGGTACGGGCAGACATTCACTTTGTGCTTATATGTACTCTACATCTTTCCTCCCAGTCCTTTGTGTTTAATTTTCCAGTCATTATAGACTAAGCTGTTGCATTGCTTATGACTTCAGCATATCAAATGATTTGTCAATGCCTGCGTTAACTACCTCTGCTGAACTAGCTGGACTAAAATAATAATTGTAACTAAATCTGTTTCAGTCAATGTTGGCAACTAAACCTACTAAGAAATTAGTGTGTGGAGGATTTAACTTGACACAATAAGCTATTATGACCCTTTTTTAGTTTTGGAGGTCAGACAGGGCTCTACAATTGTACTTCTATCAGCTTTAATGACTCTTGCAGCATTTCATGGGCTTGTGTGTAAGAGTTTGATATTATTTTGTAAAGGGTTATACCATACGTACTAGAGGAGCTTTTGTTTTGGATCTTATCATGATTAATGTTTTTTAAGGAAATTTGTTCAAATTATTTTGTCTCAAGGAAGCATACTACTGCTATGGATGTTGAAAATGAGCAGAAAAATTTAACTTTAATTAATTTGGTGTTTGAAAAATATACTGGTTATCTTGAAAATAATGCAAAAGATAAAGTTCTGTTGTTATTTTAAAAAAATGTACAATTAATCATTTTTAATCAAGTTTGTGGGAATTAATTTAAACATTTAAAACTGTAAATAGTGTATTATTTATCATTGAACGAATATTCTACTCAACTGTAACATAAAATTGGCACTGTTTTATAGTTTTTCATTGAACATACATTAAGTATGTTATTACGTGATAATTGTGTGTATAGGTGACTACTTGTAACTTATATATTTTAACAAATAATATTACATTTCTATTATTCAAGGAGCTGTTTTGTTTGAGAAACTAAAATGTTTTGCATATTAAAGCTTTACTACACCAAAAATGTAACATTATCTACATGCACATTTCGGGTGTAGTACCCCATATTTCATTTTTCACTATGATCATTTGTTGTTTTGGAGATAACTTCAGTTTAAGTTATGATTTCCATAAAATTGTGTTACATAGTTACCTAATGGTGGTTGGCAAGTATTTTTAACGTAAGTACAGAATGTTAGTTCTATTCAGGTGTCGGAAACAGGGCAAGCATAGGAACAAGTGGCTGATCATTTTGATTTATCCAGGTCCGTAATGAGAAAGGTGTATAGACATACTGCTAAAAAACTGGTCTGTACAATAGACAACCTAGACAAGATTATAGAAGACCTGTTATGCCACATAATTACTGTTATCTGCACAATGCTACTGCTTGGACTAGCCAGTCCACTGTTTATGGCTTTAAGACAGTAAGTTGAGTGATAGCCAGTGATGTAGATCGCATGAGTATGAATTAATTTGGAGATCTACTTCAACCCCATGTTTCACACTTTTGTGAAGAGATCAAGAACTAACAGAAAAGCCACTGGGATCCTTTAATCATTGACTGGTTCCTACATGAAGAACCAGAAGTGAATGATATGTTGAACACATTTTCATTTAACATGGTAATTTTGATTATGGTTCTGTCATCGTGTTTTGGAGGCATCAGTATGGATGAATTTATAGATCTTACTATGTGTCTAACATGCTAGAGTTACTTCTTGATGATACACCGATGTAATATTGAATCTACTTCTATGAATTTTTACAGGTTCAATCAGCTTTTTTTTGGGGGGGGTCACCTGTTTTTACAAACTATTGCCACTCCCCCACCCAAGATAATTTTTGCTGTGTTTAACACTTCTGCTATTTTTCTTACAGTTGCAAAAGAAAAAAAAAAGCTAATTAGTTCATTAAAATACATATACCATGATTTGAAACCTGTAAGGCCACTCGTCATAACTATGTTATTTCAGTGCCTTTTCATTTTGAATTTCAGACATAGGTTACCCAAAAACTTTGGAACTTGCTTGTCAGCCAAAATGTATCAGATTGAGATTTCATGGGTACCATGTTCTTGTTCTGTATTCATTCTTCTGAGTTACCAGTATCTTTTTATTTTCATATATTTCAAGTTTAAAAAAAAAATGTATACAGTTTATAAAAAAGAATATTGTATGTAATACAAGTTATTAGAAAATGGGATTCCACCCATACTGTGTGTCATCAATTTGTACTCCTATTCTGCCTTCATCCACAATGCAGAATTATTGACTTTCGCACTGAAATTACTTAAGAATGAAGGTAGGAGCTCCCATAAAATTGTTTGATGAAAGATTAGAAATGTGACCTGAATATGCAGAGATTATATTAATGTCAGTAGGGCTCCATACTCATTACTGAGTGTATCATTTCAACATTTGTCTCTCATTCCTACAAGTTGATTTAGAGGAAACTCATGCTCCAATGGAAACCAGCATTCACAATAAATAAATGACACTTTTTAAAATATATTAATTTCAGTTTTGTTATTCATTTGGTTAAAACATTATGTAATTGTAAAATCATGTCTCTTCAATTTATTTTGAGTAGCTTATCACTGATATTTATTCAGTACAGAATGTATGAAGTATTTGAAACATTACAGTTCATTTCTAGAAAATAAATGTTTTTACCATGTTAAAAGATGAAAGTATTTTTAAGAGTGGTTGTCATTGTGAAAGAAAGAGAGAAAAACATTTTGTTTACATTTGTGCTATAAATTTATCTGTGACATATGAGTTACAGATCTACTTCAAACTCAGCATCAGTTCCCAGTCATGTTAAGGAAATATTTCAGTTGACACTATTGTCATCACTGTTGGATTCACTGTTTAATTAAACAGTTAGTTCTGTGATCTGACTTGTTTTTGTTATGTTTGTAACTGTCCTATGAAAAATGGAAAGTTTGTGGAATTATTTTACCATCTGGAAAAATTAAAGATCAAAAAGCAGGCATCTTTTTTTAATGTACATTGAAAAGTTTTTGTTGTTTTTTTTTAAATGGGAGGAAAGATGGTAGGCCTTTTACAATAAAAAAGAAAACAGTATATAATAGTTATGTAATTGGAATTTTAGATTTAACAAATTCATTGTAACTAGATGGACCATGACTGCTACTTTTATTACTGGCCTCCTGAAATTTCTTCATGGTGTTTGCAGTATTGTGCCAAGTTAAAACATTGTTTTCCTAACTAACTGGTTCTTTCTTTGTAACTTGTTGTCTCTTTTATATCTGTGCATGTGTGCTTCTATTGCATGTGGGAAACTAAAAAGCTTTTCTCTCAAATTAGGATCATTCACCATTTGCACATCCTATCATCTGTGCATATATTTGGATATTGAAATATACCCTTATTTTTTTTTTTTTTTTTTTTCAGTTTTATTCCTAAGTTTTTTTTATAACATAAGTTTGCAAGTTATTAATTTTTTGTTTATGTTAATCGGTACTTCTAATTTTGTAGAACAACGCATATCTGGTCTCAACACATTGTAAACATTTATTTAAGCATAGGGTCTTATGTAAACAGACTGATCACAGTGTGAGACACAATTTGAATTATGAAAGCTCTGGTAAAGCACACTTGCTAATAATGCGTTACTATTATGAAGTGTTTTAAAACTGATGTAATATTGTTTTTGCATTCCAGAAGATTTGCTAAATTGTGTATTTTCAAACTGACAGAGTGTGTCTTAAATTATTAAAAACCTTTAGTTACAAAGGGGATCAAAAGTCTATTACTAGAGAGCTTCTGACTATTTTATATATAATTAAAATATAGTATCCAGTTGTCATATCATATTAGTTATAATGATTTAAACAAAATGAATTAGAGCATCAAACATATTCTGAAAAGCCATTATCTTAAGCAATGTATATAATCTCATAGAATATGATAATCGTGTTTGTGTGTGTGGACTTTTAGTAATGAAATAGTAGTTTAAAAATAAATATATAATTTGGTTTTGTCTTCTAAAAGTATCAGGTACTTGTGTATATATGCATTTCACATAATGTAATAGTGCCTGACAGTTTTCATATGTATGTCAGTTTCAGGTAATTCTGTATGTGTGATATGATGATAGTCCTTATTAATATTGAATATGTTTCTCATGGTTTAACAATATCTGATAATCATGTGCTTTTCATAAATTAATAATACTTAATAAGTATGCACACTAACAGTAATGATACATGGTAAAAGTGTGTATGCAGTTTTCATAATCTAATAGTACATGTTAGTAGTATAGATGTGTTTAACAGGTTTTATTAATGATTAAAAATGATGTGTATATGCATTACATTACCTAGTAGTAACTGAGAATCATGTGTATGTGCTTTGCATGTTCTAATAGTACTGTACTTAAAAATCAGAAATTGTTTACATGCTACTGTGATGTTATATTTGCGTGAATTTGTTGTTCAGGAGTGCAAGTAAAGATTTAGCCATCAAATATACCCAGAGTATTTAATTTATAACTCAGAACATTGGTAACATATTATTTAAAAATAATTTAAGTAAAGTAGATTCTATTGATATTGAATCTTTTATGGTCATACGCCTGGAGTTTAAGAGTCAGTTGATCCTGTACTTAAGTCTGTCACAAGTAGCTTCATGTTATATTTTATATTTAGTAGTATCATAAGGAAATACATTATCCAGTTTCAATAGAAATAACTAAGTATGTATAATTATCTCTGAATCAATTTGTATGAGTCATTTTTCATGCATTTACTATAGCATTTATTTAATGTTGCCATTAGGAATGAATTTTTTGTTGTTGTGTATTTGATATTATGAGTAATTTAGGTTTTTTTTTTTAATCCTACAAGTTTTAGTGCTTTAAGTATTATTTAAATAGAATACAAATATATGTGGGAAATGCTAAAGTTTTGACCAAAAGAAAAAGCCTCTAAAAGACCAAATTAGAATTTATTATATTAGATATCCATGTAATTTATGTGAAATATGTCTTGTAGATAAAAAATATCACAAATTCTTTTCCATGGAGCTTTCTTTGCATTGCAATATGGAAAACTTTATGTTCAGTTAAAACTTAGAAAAAG